AGGCAGAGAGGTGGGAGGGAGACCAAAGGCATGATCGAAGAGAAGGGTCTTGAGACCAGCCTTGAAGGAGGCAAGGGAGGAAGCGAGGCGAAGGGACCATGGGATGGAGTTCCAGAGTGTGGGGGTAGAGAGGCTGAAAGCCCAGCCACCGATGGTAGGGCGGGTCGGGCGGGAGACATGGAGCAGGCTGGAGCCTGATGAGCGGAGGGAGCGGGCAAGGTGGGAGGGAGTCAGCAGGTCAGAGAGGTAGGAGGGGGCAAGGCCTTGGATGTCCACCTGAACAGGCACAGACAGGACCTTAATTAGTCAGATAAATTAGTCTCAATCAGATTCGATTCCAGGGGTTGCAAAGACTGAACAGGTACAGAGGAGTCTTTGCTTATGCAGCCAATTGCTGGATGTCTGCAGCTTTTGCCTGCATTCTGAGCTTTGGGTTTCCTGCTATAAAGTGCAGTGACTGTCATTTGTCAGCAATGTTCCTGGGGGGCATTGACATGGAAGAAACTCCCTTCTCGCCGCAACATCTTTAATGTCTGCCCAAACAGGCATAGACGGGACCTTGGTTTAACGTCTTACCTGAAGGACAGCGCCTCCAACAATGCAATGTAAACCCCCCCAGCAGTAGGGGTGCAGTTTGGGAAAGACCAAGAAAACCAAGTTCAGAATGTAGGCAAAAGCTGTGCCTGATTTTAGGAGTGACACTTGCCTGTTTAGTGACACAGGACACGGTTAGATATTGAGACAAGACAGTTGTGATGGTCCTTTCTAGTGATGTATGTGCTCCTATGTTACAGGTTTCTGATATGATATGATCTGTTACCCAATCACTTGATCCATTAGCCCAGTCATTGCCGCAACTGAGATATTGTCAGGGAATGTGACTCCCACATACTTTGCAAAGGATTGAAATATTAACTCCAAAAATCCTAAAAGATTCTTCAGGGGGTATGGGAATAGGGTAGGGCAGTGGGATCGAATGACCAGCTTGCTTTGAGAGCTAGTGCAGATTCGATCGGCTGAATGGCCTCCTTCTATGCTATAGATTTCTATGATTCTAAGTAACTAACATCTTATTTGCATTCAGGCCAATAGTTAAGAAGCCAGTTCCTTGTTTGATACTTAACATATCCGGACGTCATCACAGACTCAGAGAAACAGATGACTAAGAGGTGCTTTGTGCTGAATTGACCAAGCCTTTCGTAAATTGTTTTAATCCCACTTAATGGTAGAAGTCAGGGGGAAAGGCTTTTAGATCAGGATTGGAATCTGAAAATCACTTCTAATTATTTGAGACATCCCCAACGTGAAAGGCGCCATATAAATGTAATCTTGTTGTTGTACTGACAACTTGGTGACATCACCCACAGACATGGGGTCATCTTCCACATGTATGCAGATGACACCCAACTCTATCCCTCTGCCTCCACCCTCGATTCCAGGACAACTGACTTCCTTGACAGACCGTCTGTCAGACATCAAGAGCCAACTTTCTACAGCTGAATGTCAAAAAGACCAAGGCTCTCCTGATTGGCTCACGCCAGCACCTCCACACTTCAGGCACTGGCAGCATCAGCATCCACGGATGCACGCTCTACCTCACCAAGCCAGTCAGGAACCTGAACATTTTGTGCGACCCTCAACTGCCTTTTCTCCCTCATATCGGTGTCATGACCCGCTCTGCCTTCACCCACCTCCGCAATATCGCTCGGCTCTGCCACCCTCACCCCTTAGGCCGCCAAAACCCTCATACCTGCATTTGTCATCTCAAGGCTCGACTACGGAAACTACCTCTTTATCGGCCTCCCCAACTCTTCCCTCCACAAGCTGCAGATCATCCATAACTCTGTAGCTTGTGTCCTCTCCCACACTAGGCTCCGTGATCTGATCACCCCCACCTTCGCCTGGCTCCACATTCCCCAGAGGTTAGAATTCAAATTCCTCCTCCTCACTTTTAAGGCCCTCCACGTCCTTGCCCCCTCCTACCTCTCTGATCTGCTAAACCTGTCCACGCTCTCCGCTCAGCAGGCTCCGGACTGCTCCAGGTCTCCTGCCCGACCCGCCCTGCCATCGGTGGCTGGGCTTTCAGCCTCTCTGCCCCCACCCTTTGGAACTCCATTCCACAATCTCTTCGCCTCGCTCCCTCTCTTGCCTCCTTTACAAGGCATGACTCAAGACCCTCCTTTTTAAACGTGTCTTCAGCCGCCCTCCTAATTCTCTGCCCTCCCTCATCCCAACCCTGCCCACACCCCACGCTCGGGTCCTGATCCCTGACTGTTCAGCGCCTTGGGACGTCCTCCCGACGTGAAAAGTCTTTACAAATATAATTTTGTGTTGTTGTTGATATCTTCTGTTACTTGGTTTTTATTTAAAAATATCCTCAATGCTATCCCAGTTGATTTGTCGTTTCATATTACTCTGGTCTCCTCCGGCTTCCCACACATTAAAACATTCAGCTGTTCTCATTCCAAATTGCTTTCAGGCTGTAAGCTATTCTATTCTATGAAAACGTGACAGGAATGGCATCGTTTGCAGCTTGCTGATATTTATCCTAAGTGCTTTCTATAAACTTACTAGCATGGCTCTCTCGTGCCCCCTGCCAGAAATTTGGCTTTAGTGCTGAGACTCTAGTTCTTGTTTTGGGGGTTTGAGGAGGGGGGCAGTGGGCAATATGTTTTGCTTTCCTCATTCCGCCCCATAGGAGACAGAACAACAACAATAAAATGGATTTATATGGCACCCTTCACGTAGGATAGCATCTCAAAGCCGTGTGTCATGTGAAGTACTTTGAGCATTTTGCCCACAAAATACGCAATCAATTCACGTTACAATGTGTTCTGTGAAGAGCTTTGAGACGTCTCAGAGGCCAGAGGTGATTACTCCACAAACACTGGCATGTGAACAGAAAGCTTCCTGGATCCTAATACATTCTTCGCTCAGCTCATGAACAGAAAGCATGTCATTCATTGCTCAAATCTCTCCTCAAAAAGGTGCCAACTCGCCCTGAGAGGAGGGGGGAGGTCTGGTGAAGGGGGGAGGGGTGGAGTGAGGGGGGGTTAGGGGAGTGGGGTGTGGGAGGGGGGGTTAGGGGAGTGGGGTGTGGGAGGGGGAGTGGTGCAGGCAGGGACTGAATACAGCCTTGCTGTGATATAAACAATGTTAGCTACAACAGTATGGCAGAAACAGAGAGAGATCAGGATTTAGAATGGGGATTAAGCAGAGCATGTGATCTGTGGAGCCTAGTGATATGGATGAGAAATGCAGGACTGCAGTAGATGGGTTTAGAATCTGCCCAGTGGTTTTCGGGCACTTAGGTAGTTGCTGTTACCAAATAGCCTCTTGCCTAGAATCGACATCTCAAAACATGCTCGATGGCCGCGAGTCTAGCTGCCTCCGTGAGCCGATGGTGTCCTGTGATCATTGCCTGTTATTCACTTTGTGTCTGTCAGCGGTGACGTGTGCAGCCCTCAATGTGCGTATCGCATGCAGCAATCCCCCCACCATAACGCCCCTCCCTCCTCCATAATGCCCTCTCCCCCTCCATAAGACCCTCCCCACCTCCCTAACCCCCTCCCCCATCCATATCCCCCTCCCCCTCCATAAGCCCCTCCCCATCTCCATAACCCCCTCCCTGACTCCCTCCCATCCTTCCACCCCCGTTAGGGTCACAGCAATTCAGCCACAAATGTCTCGCTCTCATGAGCAGAGCAGCTATCTGCAAATCTGTTTTATTATGATCCAAAGCCCAGACTTGACCGCTCCCCATTTCCTCTGGTTCCCAATGCTGTTGCATTCTCTCTCTCTCTCTCTTTAGTGCCAGGAAACAAATGAAACAAAGTTCCAAATGGGATACTTCAAACGGCTTTTTTGGCTTCGAATATTTTTTTGATGTCAACTTCTGTCACGGGAACTCTTGCCATACTGGTATCTCAGTGGTTAGACACTCGCCTCGCAAGCGAGAAACCTGGGTTTGATTCCTAGGTCAGGGAGAAACGTTGGGCAAGTTTCCTTACTCCGCCCACCTCTGTTTACCTAGTAGTAAATAGGAACCAGCTTGTTCGATTAGTGGATCGCTCTTCTGCGGCTAATAATCACTTAAAAAAAAGGAGGGGTTACTCAATCCACAACTGTTTGTGGAACGCTGCTGTGCGCAATTGACTGCTGATTTTGCCCACAAAATACACAGTCACTGCACTACAATATATTCTGTCAAGCATTTTGAGTCGTCTCAATGACGTGATCAGGCGTTGTTGTTGTTCTCTCTGCCGCCAAATGTTCACCATTTTCGACCTGGTGTTCAGCCACTCAAGTGGATCAATTATCCAATCCACCAAGAATGTGTGCGTTTTGGTGTTAAATATGTTGGCAGAAAGCAGCACTGGTTCATGACCCTCCTCACTACAGAACGTGGAATAAAGCCAGATTACATTGATTCAGAAATACATCTTGACAGGCGTACACTGTCTTTGTTCCATATAACAGATGTTCCACTGAATCCCACTGCTCTCGCACAGTTTTTGGTTAGTGCCTGGCTCAGCAAAGAGATGCACTTTTATTTCTGTTTTAATTCCACTGTTTCTCCACTTGTGCTTTGCTGCCCTCAGCCTAGTCATCGACTGTTGTCGATACAGAGTGAGGAGCTTTGTTAATTGTTTCTCATTTGAACGATGCCAGGCTGTCAGTGCTTTCACCTCTGTTTTGCTGTGTTCTGATATTCAAAGCATTTTTAGCCCAGCTGAGAACAAGCCAGACATCGTGGCTGCCTTTGTGCTGGTGGGTGCCAACCCATAAATACATTGCTTAGCAAGTGCTTGGTGTAAGACTGTGCTTGGCTGCTTGAAGGCGGGTTTATTCACCCTCCACTTTCTCACCATAAAACTGCGTGTTCACAGTTCTGCACGGGAGTAGGGGGGACAACCGCTGTTAGCAAAAACAAAAAGGAGACAATTTGGGGAATGAATTTATTGTGCTAGTAGTGGTCACAATTTGGGATTTTTTTTCAGACATTCCGCAGAAAGCAGAGGAGAGCGTTGCCCGTGAAGGCGTCACCGACTCCTCGTTGTTCAGTCACTGGGGACAGGACCTCAGTCCTGAGCAACGCAACATCGCCTTGAGGAAGTTTCAGTATTATGGCTATAACAGCTACCTCAGTGACCAGCTCCCCATGGACAGGCCTATTCCAGACCTCAGGCCAGACGGGTATGCTATCTACTTGGAAGCTGAGATGCTTAGTCAATGGAACAGCTTAATAATAATAATTGTAATTTTCATAATAATCCTTGCATTTGATTTAAAGTCTTATCATTGAAACATCTCAAAGCGCTTTACAGTATTTTACTGTTAAGTGTAGTGACTGTATTTTGTTGGCAGATGCAGCAGCTAATTTGCGCACAGCAACCAACCATGAAGTGAGCGACCAAATTTAATTGAGGGATTGTTGGCCAGGACTCCGGAAGAGAGAAACTCCCTTTACTTTTTCGAAAATGCCATGGGATCTCTTAATGTCCGTCTGAATAGACAGATGGGATCTCAGTTTAACATCTCACGTGAAGGATGGCACATCTGCCAGTGCAGCACTCTCCCCAGCACTGCATTAGAGCATCAGCCTGGACTTGCACTTAAAGTCCCGACGTGGGGTTTGAATACAAAACCTACTGACTCAGAGGCAAAAGCATGACCGACTTAGCCAGGCTGACACTTGAGAGGAGTCAAGCAGCTGGAAAGCGATTCTAAATAGATTCTAAATAGATCTCAAATCACGTCATGTTAAGTTTAAGCAGCAATTTCCTGGTGTGACTGCAAGTATGAATTATTATGAAGATTCTGAAATTCCGGCCTGTGTTAAAGATGAGAAGGAGGCGAGAGAGCATATAGTAAGAGGATTATGAGGGCTTGTTATCTCTATGGTAACCGTGACTTGCTTTACTTTTCTTAGACTGCAAATAGCGTGAATAACCGCTTATTATCAATGTTCGCTGCCCCCTCCCCACACGCACAGAAACAGGTCAGGACATGTAGATGTGGACTCTGATTCACTTGTGTTTCATTAGCAGAATTGTAAACACATTCCCTCCCCAGGGAAATCCCCTCCTCACAACACAGCCCCATCACTAAACATTATTTGTTGCATATCATGTCTTTTTTGTTTTTATAAAACTTTTTTTCTGAAAGGCAGAGCTCAGGGTTGTTGGGTAGGTATCAACTGAAAGCCCAAATAAAATAGCTCTTTGCTGGTTCCAGCTCGGGGCCTCACTTGAGAACCAGTTAGTATAATAATCCTGTATATGTTTGGGGCTTGAAGCCAAATCCTCCTGACTCAGAGGGGAGAGTGCTCCTGATCGAGCCGGGCTGACACCATTATAGACACAGAAGAAAACAGCTCAGGCCTGTGTTATCAGCCACATCGCTCCTAATGAGCATACTTATTAGGCCGTCTGTACATCAAGGAGATGCATTGATTAAAAGTGCTAACACAGAACAAATTCTTCTGGCTGTTTATCTCCTGAGAAATCAATAGCGGACAGGGTTATAAAGCACAGTGCAACGAAGCAGAGAGAGAGATTGATATATATTATAATAATAATCCCTGCATTTGTTAAAACGTTGGAGGCAAATATTATAAAAACCTTCATTGGCTTGTGTTCCTCATTTCTTGTGCAAGAGAAACAGCTCTGGTGTTACAGAATCACCACGACAGCCCTACCTAACACCCCTCACCATTTAGCACTTAGCTCCACTGCCTGCTCATAACAAGGAGCCCTTGAGTCACAGCAGTTTTTAACTAAGACCTTTTTCTCCTACCCACTGGGTTCTGTCCTCTTCCGAACATTCAGACATGAGCACGGACACCACAGTTACACTTTACAGTAAATCGTGCAAAGTGCTTTGTGACATGAAAAGCGCGATCTCTCAAATGCAAGAACTTGATATATATTATAATAATAATCCCTGCATTTGATATAGCACCTTATTATGTCTCAAATCATTTCGTAGGATATAATGTTACGTATAAAAAGAATGTTTAAACCACAATTCTGAATCGTAGAAAGGCCTCGACAACTGCAATTGGATTCGTAGCTGATCTTGTTTTTCTCCGTTTTTGTGAAGAAAAGAAAAAGAAGTTTAGCAATTAGTGAGTCGGCTGTTGTATTGGAAGAAGTCAGATTCTGAACAAGAATATGAACCCTTTCTCTACAGAATCCTCTTCTGACTGTGAGCTGCACAATGGCTCAATCTCTTCCAGCCAAGTGCAGTTCCTTGATCATCTCTTGTCCTGGGCTGCGAGCTGTACTGTGCTGGGGGCTGTACTGGGCTGGAGGTTGGGCTGGGCTGGGGGGTGTGGACTGATGAAAGATATTTCCCCAATTGTGACCCAGAGCCAACCTCAAGCATCAACATCAACAAATTACATTTAATGTAGGAAGGACGTCCCAAGACGCTTCCAGTTAAGGGTTTGCAGCTGAACTGAGGGTTGGAATCAAAAGGATTGGAGGGTAGGGGGAGTGGAGGTGGGAGTGTGGTCGAAGGCATGGTCAAAGAGGACTCCCACAACATGCATAATGGAAAAGTTTCCTCATTACGTTTCTGTCTACTTTCTGGCAAAATGATGATACTGTACTTTCTGCTCGGAGTTTGTCCCGCTCATGAGCTGGGCTGCCCATTCCCACACCACGGGACATCTAAGCAAGACAAGAAATGTGCATTGCATCTGTCTCTAGTGCCATTTAACCCAGTTCCCAGAAGTATAAAGGAAATCATGCCAACAAGACTCCACAAGTCTCAGCTCCTCAATCCCAAATGGAATGAGCTTTCGTGCTCCAAATCTCCAGAAATGTTCTGTTTTCTCTCCTGAATAGCACTCAGGGGGAATAATGGGAGCTGAGCCAGTTCTAATCTCCGCTGAGCATTTACACCAAACGTTGACAGTGACATTTTACATTTGTGAAGCATCTTTCTCGGAGCTCAGCAGCAGGAGATTGATTGAAATATTAAATCAATTAATGAATTAAATGAAATGTCATGTAGACAAACAACCCGCCCACAACACATTTCAATAGATAATAACAATAAGAGTGATCCTCGTATTTGATATGGCACACTTCATGTTAAGAGGAATTTTCAGAGCACTTCACAGGATATACTGTAAAGTGGATGAATGCAGCAGCCGATTTGCGCACAAGGAGGTTCCTGAAAGGTCCTTGAAACATACCTGAGTAAGTGTATGAAAGGCAAGTAGGCGTCGGTTCATTTGAAGCCGTGTTTCCCATTGTGTTTCAGCTGTCGAAACATCAACTATCCAGCGTCTCTGCCACAGATTTCTGTGGTGTTTATATTTGTGAACGAAGCACCGTCTGTCATCTTGCGATCCATTCACTCGGCCATTGCCCGTACTCCCGCTCACCTGCTGAAGGAGATCGTACTTGTGGATGACAACAGCAACAACGGTGAGTTTACTGTATCCTCTCCCCTCTTGCCCTCCCCCTCTCCCACCTCCCCCCCCCCCCCCCCTCCCTCGCCTCCCCCAGCATTAGAATTAGGCTATGTCAGCGTCAGTGGGGTTCTCGGTAATAATAATAATAATCCTTACATTTGATACAGCACCATATCATCATTGAGACGCCTCAAAGCGCTTTACAGAATATACTGTAAAGTGAAAAACTATTTTGTGGGTGAATATCCAGACAATTCACTTTACAGTATATTTCTGGTTTCAAATGGAAAATGAAGGCGGTGGGGAGATAAAGCAGCGCTGAGCAAACAGAAAGCTAGGTCAGTGCCAAGGGGATCCCACTTGAAAGGCAGTTTGTGGTGAAAGGATGAAAATCCTTCAAGTGAAGAAGGTTTTGTTTACTGGTGTTCATGTCAGGCTTGGCTAATTTTTTCTCGACTCCCAGTTGGATCCATTATCCTGTTTGAATCAACGTGAACCCCCCCACGTTATAATTAGAGCCAGACCCATTTGTATTGCAACCCTGGATGTGTTCATTACTCTGATTATTGATGAATTGTAGCTTGTTCTGCTCCGCTGACCTTGCTTGTCAATTTTTACAATGTTGTTATTCTTTTATGTCAGCGCCTTGGGACGTCCTCCCGACGTGAAAGGAGCTCTATAAATGGAATCTTGTTGTTGTTTTCCATTCTGGCATTTTAATCTTTTTGATCAAAAAAATCCTATGTTTTTTTTCTGTACTTGCATGTGCATGTTTGTTATTAATAATGATAATGATCCTTGCATTTTGATATCGCCTTTCACGTCGCGAGGTTGTCTGGCTCAAAACGCTTCAAGGGATTCACAGTGGGGTGACTGTATTTTTGTGGTAGCCAATTTGCACACAGCAACATTTCCCTCCCCCAAACAGCCAGAAGGTAAATGGACGATTTTATTTTGGGGAATTATTGGTCAGGACATCAGGAGAGAGAAATTCCCTTCTCTTTTCAAATAGTGCCTGGCTGACAGGACCTTGGTTTTAACATCTCATCCGAATGACGGCACCTCTGACAATGCAACACAACACGATCGCTGCAGGGAGCAACAGTCTTGACTGCAGTAGATTCCTAGTCCTGACATGGGGCCTGAACCCACCTTCTGACTGAGAGGCGAGAGTGCTACCAACCAAACCAAGCTAACACCTCAGAGTGATTTGGTTGGGATGGTAAAAGCCCACAAGTACTCAAGGTGTCTCTGTCAATCACATTCCGACCCACTCTCAGCACTGACTGACCGACTGACGTTTCTTGTGCTTGCAGATGAACTCAAGCAGAGGTTAAGTGCTTATATCGCTGAGATGAACGCACGGCAGCCTGGCTTTATAAAGGTGATCCGGCATGACAAGCAAGAGGGGCTGATACGCTCCCGAGTCAGCGGCTGGAGACTAGCCACAGCCCCTGTCGTTGCACTGTTCGACGCTCACGTGGAGTTCAGCGTTCAATGGTAACTGTCTTTACATTTTGACAAAAACAAAAGTGCTTTTACACAATGCTTCTCACGCAGGGTAGTGTCCCAGAGTGCTTGACTGTGGCGAAGCTCGACGCCAAGCTGGGGGGAAGGGGTGAGGTGACCATAGGCACGGCCGAAGAGGGTCTTCTGATGCAACCTGAAGAGAGGGAAGAAAGGGGCAAGGTGGATGGATCTAGGGAGAAAGTGACAGAGTTTGAGGGCGTAGTAGTTGAAAGCGCCACTAGTGGTGGAATGGAGGGTACAGGGACAAGTGGGAGGCCGGAGCCAGTCAAGTGGAGGTGATGGGTAGTGGAGTGAGGAGTAAGCAAGTCGGAGAGGGAGGGAGGTATCAGGGCATGAAAAGAATTGAAGATGAGGGAGAGGATCCTGAAGTCACCACCTCAAGGCTGATGTAGTGTGCTCAGTCTGTGCCTTGGTTGATACTGAAACCCCTCAATGTTCCTTTTTTAAAAAAAAAGGGCTGAACCTATCCTTTCAAGAATACAGGATGATCGCACACGGATTATTTCTCCATCGTTTGATAATATCAAATATGATAACTTTGAGATTGAAGAGTACCCGCTCTCGGCTCAGGGCTTCGACTGGGAGCTGTGGTGCCGCTACCTGAACCCCCCCAAGGAGTGGTGGAACCTCGGAAACACAACCACCCCCATCAGGTACCAAATGCTCATCCAGATATCTATAGCCTGCAATAAAGCTTTCATTTATATAGTGCAGTTTCTCAGAGCTGAGTGTGGTGCAGCAGCAATTGGGGATTATGCCGAGCAAGAAGGAAATTATAATAATAATAATCCTTGCACTTATCACATTGATGCAGCGTCTCAAAGCGCTTCACATAATATACTATAAAGTGGATTGACAAAAATTGTATATTGTGTGCTAAATGAGGCAGCCAATTGCACACAGCAGTGTCCCACAAACAGTCGTGGATTGAGTGACCAACATTTTTTTAATATAAGGTTTCTCTTTTCAGTGTTCTAAGCTAGGCTAATAACTTCTTAACCATCAGGGAGTTGCTTGTAATGTATGTGTAAAATCCACTGAGATGTTTTGCCAAATTGACAAGGTACTATATCCAACAAATTACATTTGTATAGCACCATTCACATTGGGAGGATGTCCTAAGGCACTGTGCATTCAGGATTTGGACCCGAGCTGGGGGTTGGGATCAGGATGAGTGGAAGGTAGGGATAGGAGGGTGACTGATGGCGCACTCAAAGAGGAGAGTCTTGAAATTGGCCTTGAAGGAGGCAAGGGAGGGAGCGAGGTGAAGGGTCTGTGGGATGAAGTTCCAAAGGGTGGGGGGCAGGGAGGCTGTAGTCCCGACCATCGATGGTGGGATGGGGGACGTGGAGCAGGCGAGAGCCTGCTGACCGGAGAGAGCTTGTTATTATCGTTGTTACAAGTATTGAGCTGAGATTGGGCATGAATTTCTTTCTCTTTTAGAAAACAAATATTGATCCTTTTTGTTTTCTGGTTGCAGAAGCCCTGCTCTGATTGGCTGCTTTGTGGTGGACCGGGTGTACTTTGAGGAGATCGGTTTGCTGGACGAAGGGATGGAGGTTTACGGCGGGGAGAACGTGGAGCTGGGGGTTCGGGTAACTATTCCCTGTCTCCATCTCTGTTTTCCTTTAATTTTGTGTTGTTGTTGTTTCTTATCAAGTGGTTTATTTTGAAGTAGTCACACTAGTAATACCAATGCAATTTACATTTATGTAGCCCTTTCATGTCAGAAGGAGGTCCCAAAGCACTTTTATGTTTACTGGATGGGCACCAGAGATACAGAAAGGAAGAGTTTGCATTTGTGTGAATGGTCTCCACCAGTGAGAGGTCATCTCCATAGATAACACCCAGTACAGGTGAGAGATGTAATAACACTACACTTGATAGGCACCTTTCACATTAAAACAGGATGGGCCATCTCAAAACGCTTCACAGGATTTACTGCAGAGTGTAGTGATTGTGCTTCAAAGGCGAATCCTGCATCATAAACTCCATCTAATTCTCTCTCCCTTCTCCCCTCTCCTCTCTTCTCTCTTTCTTCTCATCTCTCCCCTCTCCTCTCTCCCCTCTCCTTGCCCCCATCGCCCCTCTTTTTTTTCCTATTGGGATTTGACTCCAAGATTAAGGCTAAAAATAACATTTCAAGGCAGGTTGAAATGTTGTTCAGTTTTACACTGTGCGATTGTGGTGGTGGTGGGCAATCCAATTAATGGTCAGCATCGCGCGCACAAAAATATACAGTCAATTCACTTTACAATATATTCTGTGAAGACACCTCAATGATGTGATTAGGCACTATATCAAATGCAAGGATTATTATTGTAAAGCCCACTGGCGCACTTTATTTAAGACTACAATCTTGAAGCTGAAACCAATGGAAATTTGGGGTTAGCGGAAGTCAGAATGGCACCATTTTGTGGTGAGTCAGAACAGAGAGTTAGATAGAGGCTGTTCACTCCAACTTGTCCCTTTTGTGCTGATAGTCCACATGAGCCTCCAGCCCTCCTATTCCGATCTGTTTCACGTAGGCATCAAGCTTCCTCTTAAATCCTTTGCTGCTTTTTTGCTTCCAGCAGTGATTTCCACATTCTCGCCACTCTCTGCGTGAAGAAATGATAATAATAATCATAATAAGCCTTGCACTGATACAGTGCCTTATCACATCGTTGAGGCGTCTTGAAGCACTTTACTCTGAAGTGTAGTGACTATGTATATGTGGGCGAACGCGACACCCGAGCACTGCACCACAAGGCCAAAAGTGATACTGGAGGATTTGTGAAATATTGAATCTGCTGGGAATGGGGACGTGAGCCACATCGATTGCAAGAATGCCACTCAGGAGCTCTCGAGAGCAGACTACCCACAGGTCAGTCTGACCCTCACTCTGTTACCTGTTAATACTGCCTGGAATACACAGTCACTACGCTTCACAGTGACAACTTGATAAGGCACTATACCAAATGCAAGGATTACTATTTATTATTTTTCCAAAGCAAAGTGCTTTGTGATGCCTTCACTGACATGAAAGACGTGATATCAAATGTTAGAATAATAATTATTATTAGTACTAAAGCTTCACTATGAGTTAGGATACAATTCCCTGTGAAGAAAGATTTTCGAGCCCTTTGTGTATTATTCTAAATCCTTGGCTGAGGATTTGCTGCAGGAAGAGAAAGCAGCTACACTAAAAATGAAAACACATCTATTGATATTGATAAATTTTTCTCTTGCCATGAAATGGAATGTTGGTATTGATGGGCAGTCATTAATGTCTGACCGTGGTATCTAGGGACAGGGCAAGCAGAGCTCCCGTAACACAGCATCCCAACCCAATGTAATGATGGGATCATTGGAGACAATGTAGAAGGTGTCAGCTTGTCTAAATCAGTCGCACTCTCATTTGTACGTCAGAAGGTTATACTCCAGGATTGGCACTCCAGTGCAGTATGGTGATGGAGGAGGGGAGGCTTCACTGTCGGAGATGGCATCCTTCAGGTAGTTGCTAAACCAAGTTCCCGTCTGCCTGTTAAAGATCCCACAACATTTAAAAAGAGAAGGTGGGGGGAGTTCTCTCCCGATGTCCTGGCCGATGCCCCCCCACCCCCACAGGCAATAGGTAATTTTGTTTCACTTCACGGCTGTTTGTGGGATATTGAAGTGAGCAAATTGTCTGCCTGCAAAATAGACAGTCATTACACTTTACAGTAAACCCTGTGAAGCGCTTTGAAACGTGCTTCCAATGTGAAAGAATATCAAATGTACATCATTGATACAAAATATAAAATTTATGGATTTTGATAATATTACCAATTGGCTGCGCGTTTCGCCCACAAAATACACAGTCACTCCACTTTACAATATATTTTATGAAGCGTTATGAAACATCTCAATGACCCGTGGTAAGGCACTATATCAAATGCAAGGGTTATTATTAAATATTTTTATTAACAAAAGAAACTTACTTTTTTTTCCCTCTGAATTTCGGAAGATGTGTGTGAGTGGAAAAAAAGCAATTGCTGGTTACAGAGGGATGTTTCATTCTCATGGGGAGGATTAAATCACACAGAGGAATTGATCAGTCGCCTTGTCTCACCCTGACAGGTGTGGCAGTGTGGGGGTAGTGTGGAGGTGCTGCCGTGCTCACGACTTGCTCACATCGAGAGAGCGCACAAACCCTACACTGAGGACCTCACCAAACACGTGCGCAGGAACGCGCTGAGAGTGGCCGAGGTGTGGATGGACGAGTTCAAAAGCCATGTTTACATGGCCTGGAACATTCCCAGAGAGGTGGGTATGTGGAAAATCCCCCCTCCCCCCCTCATCAATGGTCAGAATGACACCTATCAGTGACTAGACAAGCGCTCCGAGACGCTATCCTGGGTGAAGGGAGCTATATAAATGCAAGTTGGTCTTGTGGCTGCGCTTTGAGCCACTATACTCCAAAACTATGGAACTCTCTCCCCCTGTTCCTCGCCTTGCACTTTCCTTCCCCATCTTCAGGTCGTGCCTGAAGACCTTCCTCTTCGACTGTGTCTATGGTCACCTCCCCCCAGCTCGGCGTTAGGTTCCGCCATTGTCAAGTGCTCTGGGATGTGAAGGCCATTATATAATAGAAGTTGTTGTTGTTGTTATTGACCCAAATTTCCACCTAATCAAGATTATTTTGTCTTTACACTTTTTATTTTTGTGGAAAATTCTTCCATTTCTTCTTAATTTGGAAAAACTGTTTTGGTAAAGTCTGCAAAAAAAACTGCTTCCAAATTTTAAGACCAGATGAAAATATTTTCTACAATTAGCCACCAAGTCTTATATTTTGAAGGCGAAAACAGGTCTCGTAGGCTAAGACTAGGTGATATACTGGGGCCTCCTGTGTGGGCATTAGTCTTCGCCAACAAATGAGGGGTAATTGTTCCCGGGTCCTAGATTTACTAGATTTACTTTTTAAATATACCGTTTCAGAGCATTCAGAATGTGTCAAACTGATGAATTCTGCCTCAGTTGTGAGGATGCTTTTCTATAGTTCTTAGAAAAGAAACTTATATATTNAAAAAAAGAGCTTCAGAATTAAGATAGGTCAAGAATTCCCCAAATTCTGGATGATGTGAAGTGTTCACAAATAAAGTAAATCCATATTCATAGAATTGTACAGCACAGAAGGAAGCTATTCGGCGGATCGTGTTTGTGCTGTCTCTTTGAAAGAGTTACCAACTAGTCCCACTCCCCTGCTCTTACCCCAAACTAGTCCCATTACCCCACTCCCCCAAAGCCCTGCACATTTTTAATTTCCAAGATTCAGTCGTACCTCCTCCCCACACACTTCTGGTCGCAGCAAACATCCAGTCTGGCTCAGCCAATAGCTCTCAGCTCATTGAGCTAATATACAGGCAATTCACCTGCTGCCGAAATGTTACAAGCGTCTTGTTTTTTAAGCTTATAAATAGCAGCACTGAGGTCACTGTGCAGGCGATTTGCTTAGTTAATCATCCCCAAAAGACATCGGTGTGATTCCTCTGCCTCCACTTGAATAAAATGTTCAAGCATTTTCTTGCCTTGAGTGGAATTCAGTTCTTGAGTCCACAAAGGATACGTTGCTGGTCCATTTGTCATCTTGGAGTCGTGGTTGAGGTAGTTTTCAAACAAGTCCAGAGAGGTGGNAAAAAAGAAAGATTAAGAGAGAAATCAGGAGAGAATGGTTTTTGTTTCCCTTCTCATGGAATACTGAGAAGGGAGTTTCTCCCTCCTGGTGTACTGGCCAACAATTTCCCAAATACAATTGGTCATGGCTCTTTGTGGAACATTGCTGTACACAAATTGGCTGCCACATTCACCCACAAAATACAGTTCACAATAAAATTGGGTGAAGCTCAGCAATGTGATAAGGTGCTGTATGCCAAATGCAAAGATTATTATTATTATTATGACAATGCACATGTACATCGAATGAACTTCCACAGAGTGAGTGCTGCACCAACCAACTGACTCCCATAAAATCAAAGTACTGGATAAGTATGTGGTCTGGAACAGGGTCGAATTCAAGATCCTCACCCTCACCTACAAGGCCATTCACGGCCTTGCTCCCTCCTACCCCTCCGACTATCCCCCTACCTACCCGCCCGTACCCTCCGTTCCTCTGGCTCCGGTTTGCTCCACATCCCCCGCCCCAATCGCCCTACTATCGGTGGCCGGGCCTTCAGCCCCTAGGCTCTGGAACTCTATCCCCAGTGCCTTCGCCGCCTCCTCCTTTTCCTCCTTCAAGGCCGGTCTCAAGACCTTTCTCTTTGACCGTGCCTTCACCTCCCCTCTCGACTCTCTACCCCCTCCTCGCTCCCTCCCTTCCCTCCCCTCACCCTGACCATTTCCCCCTTGCTCGGGTCCTGACCCAACTGTATAGCGCCTTGGGACGTCCTCCCGATGTGAAAAGCGCTCAATAAATGGAATCTTGTTGTTGTTGTTGAAGATGGTAGGAATAAGTACAGAGCAATCATTCCATAGAGCACTCTCTTCCTTCCAGACTTCCCGGCCTCATCCCACTACAGAACTTGATTGTTCCTTAAATGAGTCCCAATGTCCGGGCCTCTACCACCCTTCTCAGCAATAATAATAATAATCCTTGCATTTGCTAAAGCGCCTTATCACATATTCAAAACATCTCAAAGTACTTCACAGAATATATTATAAAGTGAATTGACCATGTATTTTGTGGGCATGAATTTTGTCCATGAATCCAGTATCTCACCCTCTCCAACCCCCCAGATTGACCCCACGCTGTACCGATGTTGCTCTTGAACTACCTGAGCGGGTTAGGGGTAGACTCAGATGATTTCCATGGTAGCTTGGAAGTCTAGCATATTGCATGAGTTTGTGAATAAATGTTCATTTGGCTCCAACAACCACTTGCACTTATATAGCACCCTCCATCCAGGGCAGTGTCTCAGAGCATTTGGCTTCACACTGAGAAATGAGAGATTGGGAATGTGCAAGAGATTGATGTGGTTCTTGTGGAATAGTTCCAAGCTTAGTTTGCTAATACTGTGTGTGTGTGTGTGTGTGTGTATGTGTGTATGCGCGTACGTGTGTGCGTGTATGTATGTGTGTGTGTATGTGGGTGTGTGTGTGTGTGTTTATGTATGTATGTATGAATGTGCGTGTGTGTATGCGCGTGTGTATGTCCATGTGTGTGTGTGTTCATGTGTGTGTATCCATGTATTTTTGCGTGTGTATGTGTGTGTGTATGCGCGTGTATGTGTGTGTGTGTGTGGTTCTTCCTTTCACTCCAGAATTCAGGAATCGACATCGGGAACATTTCAGACAGGATAGCCCTTAGGCAGAAGCTGAACTGCAAAAGCTTCAAGTGGTACCTGCATAACGTTTATCCAGAGATGAGGATGTACACAGACACAGTGGCCTATGGCGTGGTAAGGGCAATCCGTCTATTACATGGCGTCCTTTCCAACTGCTCTCTGTTTGGGAGCCTGAGTTGTCAAACCCAACCTCCTGTTTAGAATGTTAACTCACTTGGACGCTCGATCCCTGGTTAGACACCTACAAAATATGTAACCTTAACTGCACTGAAATCAAATCCTTGTGAAGTTCTTTGAGTGGCCTCAACATTATAGACGCTACATCAAATGCTAATTATTATGATTGTTATCATTGTCCTACCTGATGTTGTGCAACACAAAGTTTTTTTTGTATTCCAGCTCAGAAATTCCATGAAAAGTGATTTGTGCCTTGATCAAGGGCCGGACATGGACAATATTCCCATTATGTATATTTGCCATGGAATGACACCGCAGGTAAGTGAGCAAAACAACAACGACAATTGCATTTGTACAGCTCCCTTCAAACAGAATATTGTCTCAGAGTGCTGCACAGCAGTGGGTTTGGACTAAGGGAGGAGGGGTGTGATCACAGGGACAAGTGAAGAGGTAGGTGTTTAGATGGGATTTAAAGATAGATCGGGATGGGGGGAAGTGGCAGGAAGTTCGTAGAGGTTAGCAGTGTAGAGGTTGATGGTGGGGGTTGAGGGGGCAATGGGTAGAAGGCAATGAGACTCTGTCGGAGATGAGTGAGGTTGGACTGTGTCATTTACCACCACCTTTTAGCCACATCATTGCAGGTGATTTACAGAAACGAGGGGCAGTATTTTGGGATCAATTAAAGGCTTTGTTAATGAATTAACATGGAGCAAGCACGGTAATTAGAAAAGGGAACGATTTAGATGAGGACATCGAAGTTAATATATCTAAATTCGCGGATGACACAAAACTAGGAGGAAGTGCCAACACAGAGAATGACATTAAAAAAATGCAGCGAGACATAGATAGGTTAGGTGATTGGGCAGGTAGGTGGCAGTTGAAGTATAATGCAGGGAAGTGCGAAGTCATCCACCTGGGTAGCAAAAACAGTAGAGTGGGTTATTTTTTAAAGGGGAGAGATTGGAATGGGTTAGCGTTCAGAGGGACTTGGGTGTCCTTGTACACCAATCACAGAAAGTTAGCCTGCAGGTGCAGCAGCAATTAGGAAGGCGAACGGTATGTTAGCATTCTTTATGAAAGGATTATAGTATAAGAGTAGGGAAGTATTGCTGCAACTGTATAGGGCCCTGGTGAGACCACACCTGGAATACTGTGCAGTTTTGGTCTCCTCATTTAAGGAAGGACGTACTTGCCTTGGAGGGGGTGCAGCGTAGATTTACTCGGTTAGTACCAGGGATGAAAGGGATGAGTTACGAGGATAGGCTGACCAAGTTGGGCCTATGTTCTTTAGAATATAGAAGAATTAGAGGGGATCTTATAGAAACCTATAAGATCATCAAAGGGCAATGATAGAGTAGATAGTGGGAGATGTTTCCCCGGTTGGAGAAACTAAAACCAGGGGTCACAACCTTAAAATCAGGGGCAGCCCTTTCGCACTGAGTTGAGGAAGAACTTCTTCATTCAAAGGGCAGTGAATGTATGGAACTCACTACCCCAAAGGGCTGTTGACGCTCAGTCCTTGAACCTATTCAAGACTGAGATAGATAGATTTCTTATTGCAAAAGGGATTAAGCGATATGGGGATAAGGCAGGGTCAGGTTATTTGCTGGAGTTAGATTAGAAGATCAGCCATGATTGAATGGCGGGGCAGGCTCGAAGGGCCGAATGGCCTACTCCTACATGTTATGTTATGGAAGAGGGGAGGGGGTGAGCTGCTACACAGGACAGGGGAGAGGGAGGGGGAGGGAATAGCCAGCTGATGTTGAATAAAATCTTCTTCAGAATGGCTCCATTATAAAATGGGAACTTTGTATCATTCTGCCTATGCATTTAGCATCAAATGCCACGTATTCTGATCCTTCCTTAAAATCTGACATGCAGTTGTCTGAGCAACTAACTCGTTGTGTTTCCTTAAACATGGCAGCAGTGTAACAAGGGTTAAATTAGCCTTTCATCGTGGCTGCACATTGCCAAAGGCCTTTATTCTCAGCCCTGCACAGCACTGCAAACAGGAGAATGTCATCGTGTAAGATTGGGGTCACACTGCTGTTGGTTGAGATGTAATCCAGAGCGAGGGAGGGGGGAGGGAGAAGGAATCTCTCTAAGATGCTGTTAAGAGTTTCAGCGATTGTGTAATGTGTCTTGATCCATTTTCGAGTGGTTCTGAGTTCTGACTCTCAGTTCTCAATACAAAAAGCATCTTGAGGCAATTTCATGACTTGTCAGGCTCCCAGGGAGCAGGTAGATAAGGGGAGATCGCAGACTGGGATCAGTAGTTAGAATGAGAAAATACTTTGCCAGAGCAGCTGACGGGCTTTATCTCACCGCCTTGTCTGACCTGGAATGTTTTCATCGAGGACAAAGGGAATTATTGTTGTTCGTTTGACTTTCAATCCTCGCTCATTGTTTTTTGCCTGTAATATCTCATGACAATAGGTACCAGGGGATATAGTTACATAAAGGATATATTGCCTGCAAAATACACAGTCTGTGTACTTTACAGTAATCCTGTGAAGCGCTTTGAGATGTCCTTTTGAGGTGAAAGGACACTATATCAAATGCAAGCATTATTACCATTATTAGTAGTAATAATTAGGTTTAGGTGAATATAGCACGAGCATGGTCTTGTAGGCCCAAAATGACCACCTTCTATGCTGGAATCTCAAAACGGGCTATTCCTAACGCATGTATGTATGTGTCAACCTGGTTCAGTTAGTAGCACTCTTGCCTCTGAGTCAGAGGCAAGATTTATAAAGCGCCTTGGGACATCCTCCCAACGTGAAAGGCACTTTATAAATATAATTTTGTTGTTGTTGTTGAGGTGGGTTCAAGCCCCACATCTGGATTTTGAGCCGATAGAATCCAGGGGAACACAGCTCTCGTTGTTGTGTTAGACGTGCTCTCCTTTGGATGAGATGTTAAACCAAAGTCCTGTCTGTTCCCTGTTCAACTGGACATTAAAGACCAAGTGGTGCTATCAAAAAGAGAAGAGAGTTTCTCCTGGAGTCCTGGCCAACAATGCCCCAGAAAACAAATTGTCATTCACTTCATGGCTCTTTGTGGGACATTGCTGTGCACAAATTGACTGATGTGTTCACCTGCAAACTACGTAGTCACTAGACTTCACAGAAACTTTGTGAAGTACTTTGGGATGTCATTGCCACTATACCAAATGCAAGGATAATTATTTTATTATTGTACAGAATTTCGGACGGAAATAGGCTATTTTTCCACCTCGCTAACCGTTTCAATTTCCCCCCAGAATCCTTTACTGAATTTGTCTCTCAATTATTATCTAATTCTCTTGGAAGGTAACATGAGCAAGCATTGAGCACAATGCTAATGGCCCCCATCTTTGTTATCCTCTTTGCCCTAATTATATACAGCCTGTTGGGTCTCGGCGCTGATGCTTTGGCTCACTTCATCTCCCATCTCCCACGGCAATAACCAAATGACAACACGCTGAAGAGCATCATCATTCTCCTGCACTATCCACCTGGGGCAATAATTAATGGGAATTGTAATTTGCTTTTCTTTTCAAATATTTTCCGCTAATTATAGTTCAGAGAATGTTTCCCTTGTCTCAGTTTTAAAGATTCCTTGGCTTTCAGACTAAGTTGTTGAACTGTCAGAAGAAACTCAATATTAACAGTCTTTTTTTTGTTCAGTCGGGTGTCTGGCACATGAAGAAACACTTCACCGTTGCTTTAGAGTCTCCAAACCAAGCTGAGATTTCCATACATCCCATCAGAACATGGAAATCCCAGTGATAGATTGCTGGAATGGAATGCTCAGTCTCTCCCTGGAGGGGTGCACCTTCTTAAATAATTTCGGAGAGTATTAGCTGGTTGGCTACCGGTCACTCACAGTGATACAGTGAGGTGGTGTAGACCATTGTCGAAGTCTGAACAATGTGTGTGTATGTTGATGGGGGTGGGGTGTAATGTGTGTGTGTGTGGGGTGGGTGGTAATGTGTGGGGGGGGTAATGTCTGTGTATGTATGTGGGGGTAATGTGTGTGTGGGGGATAATGTGTGTGCGTGGGGGGGCTAATATGTGTGCGTATGGAGGTGGGGGGATAACGTGTGTGTGTATGGGGGTGGGGGGGGAGTAATGTGTGTGTGGGGGAGGGTGGGGGGTAAGTGCATGACAAGGCAAGCCTCCATGTGAGATGCTCCACACCTAACAGCCCAGATAAGAAACGCTGCACGTCACCAAGTGTGGCTAATGAGCCTGAGTGACAGGTAGCCCCAGCGCCTTGAACACATTGGGAAACAGCTGTTCTGTCTTACGCTCAGGCTTGTGTACACAGCCCTGTTTCGCTGGCAAAGCTGTCAGTGCCAGATACAGGATGTAGCCCACTGAGGTTCGGGGACCAGAATTGTAACATTTTCCTCTGAGCAGGACCACAAAGGTCCTTTAAAGGCTTGATGATTCACCCAGATTCAGTCTGTTTTGCCTTATAAATTAAACCGCTCAGAATTGTGCAAAAATCAGCATCATTTTTTCCGCGATTGTTTAAAAAAAAACTGTCGATGCATGACTCTGACTCTGAGTTGGGAATTATCAGATCCGGAATCGGGAATCCAGCAAAATAGGGAGAGACTAACAGGTTATACCTCTGTGTCAGCCTGTCCTCAGCCTTATTTCAGGGACTTGGAGCTCACAGTCTAGGCTGACACTCCCAATGCAGTGATGAAGTGATTTAATGTTCCGAGATACTGCCCTGCGAGAAGGCTGCTACACAGATTCAAGTTGTTGTTATTTATCTAAAGGGCGGCACCTTCCCCAACACCGCACTGGAATGTGGTCAATTCCAAATGATGGGTTGGTGGCGCGGGTTGGAAGGCTATTAAAAGTGCGATGATTCAAACTGTTTTTCTCGGTCGTTTGCTTTACAGAACATTTACTACACGAACAATCAGCAGCTGCGGGTGGGCTTGCTGAGCCCCACTGTCGATGATGATGATAACAGGTGTCTAGTGGATGTGAACGGCAGGCCCAGGCTGATCGAGTGCAGTTATGCCAAAGCTAAGCGGATGAAGCTTTACTGGCATTTTACTCAGGTATTTCTCTCGCTCTCTCTTGAACATTTTTGCTGTTGGTATTAGTGGTATGATGAGCATCTGACACACTTTGAAAACCCAAATATCCAAACAGATTGAGGGCTCCACCTGTGTCCATCACCTGCACTTGAAATCTCACCTGTATCTGGAATGGAATGCACACTTTCTCCCTGGAGGGATACGCTCTGTTTACTTAATTATGGAGAGTATTGGGCACAGGTTGGTGAGAGCTAAGGTTTGGGGGACCTGAGAGTGTGCATTTATAATAATATAATAATAAGCCTTGCATTTGACACAGTGCCTTATGCCCCTGAGATGTCTCAAAGTGCTTCACAGAATATACTGTGTATTTTGAGGGTGAAACAGTCATGAAGTGAATGCATGGGTGGGAGGAGCTTCTGTCAAAAGGTGAAAAGTTTTACAACATTTGTACAGACACGGTTGCATTCTTTGATGCTGTGAACTTTCTTTTGACTCGTATGAGTTCCTTAGAAAACAAACATGGCAAACGATGGAGAAATGCGTCGTAAAAAACTAACGGCATTTCCACCCGAACTCTAAGGGATTTGGATTTTTTTAATGGTCTGTTTATAGTCTGTCTTGTAACTATGCATCCCGTAATCAGGCTGGATTGGCATGTTGGCAGCCTCTGGTCAAACAGCCTTTACGTTTAACATAAGCCAATTGTGGGGGGAAAACAAAACCTTGCCAATTGCAGACGGCATTTCAGTTGAGCATTTTGTTGGCTAAATACAGTTAGGAATCAATACAATGAACAATCATTGAATATTCAAGCCTCCAGACCGAAGAGGCTGTTGACACTAAGTAGAAGGCTGTTGAAAATGTTCAAAGGACCCGCGATATGCTGCTATTAAATGTTAATCCACAGGCTGAGGAGAACGCTTCCAGTGTATCTGTTTTAGACACCTCAAGGTACAGTTCTGGTCCAGAGCTTTAACACCTACAAAAATGGGTCGAGATGGAGAGTTCCCTCAGAGTCAATAACACGGGCTTCCAGATTTCTTGCTTGAAGATATAGCGCAACGTTGACTTTTTGACAGCCCTCGTTAAAGCTGCTCCCAATCTCAGCCACAGACAACAACAACAACAAATTACATTCATATAATAATAATAATCCTTGTATTTGATATAGCGCTTTTCACGTCAGGAGGACGTCCCAAAGCGCTTCACAGAACACACTGTAAAGTGAATTGACTGTATATTTGTGGGCGAACGCGGCAGCCAATTGCGCACAGCAATGTCCCACAAACAGTCGTAGATTGAAAATGACCAATTGAATAGATTGAAAACTCCCTTTAGTTTTTCATTGTTGACTGCCTGATCCTTTGTGAAGCACTGGCAAGGACAGCGTTAAACCGTGTGAATTCCTGTGTGAATCAGGGCAGGCATCGCCTTTGGAGCACTAGAGTCCTGTAGTGTAGTGGTTAGAGGACCTGGGCTCAATTCCCGAGCAGGGCGAAACATTAGGCAAGTTTACTTACTCCACATAACTCTTTTTACCCAGCAGCAAGTGGTTGTTAGTCGATTGGCAGATCGAATAATGTCTTCAAATAATAATAATAATAATTCAGTCCCTCAATCCATGACAACAACAACAACAAGATTCCATTTTTAGAGCGCCTTTCACGTCGGGAGGACGTCCCAAGGCGCTGGACAGTTGGGTCAGGACCCGAGCAGGGGGGAAATGGTCAGGGTGAGGGGAGGGAAGGAGCGAGGAGTAGAGAGTTGAGAGGAGAGCTGAAGGCTGAAGGTCAAAGAGAAAGGTCTTGAGACCGGCCTTGAAGGAGGAAAGGGAGGAGGTGGCGAAGGCACTGGGGGATAGAGTTCCAGAGCCTCGGGGCTGAGAGGCTGAAGGCCCGGCCACCGATAGTAGGGCGGTTGGGGCGGGGGATGTGGAGCAGACCGGAGCCAGAGAAACGGAGGGTACGGGCAGGTAGGTAGGGGGATAGTAGGTCGGAGAGGTAGGAGGGAGCGAGGCCATGAATGGCCTTGTAGATGAGGATGAGGATCTTGAAATCGATCCTCTGGGGGTAACTGCTTGTGCGACGCTGCTGTGCGCAATTGGCTGCCGTGTTTCATCCACAAGATATATAGTCAATTCACTTTACAATATACTTTGTGAAGCCCTTTCAGGGGTTTTGGACAAACAAACAGGATCTTGATCCTGCTCCTGACTCGGACTGCACTGGTACCAGTGACCACCTCTGCTTGTTTATTCTGTTGCTTCTCATCATTTTACTTTGCCCTTTAAGGCTCGAGTGCTTTAGTTCCCAGTGATCCTTCACCCAGTCTCGCCAGCCCACTGCCATGCAGAAAAATGCTAATGCAGGTGGGGCTCAAGAGCTTAAGTGTCCACCACTCTATTGATTGGGTATTAATAGTACAGACTGGAGCTCGGAACAAGAATTTTCAGGCTCTTTCAATCTAATGAGCAACGCTGGCACATGTAACAGTAACATGCGTATTGGCAGAGGGAACTGTCACTGTGGGAAAGAACTTTGTTACCGTGTGGTGGGCCGTTGTAACAATATAGAAAGGTCGTGAATACAGAGATTGTTCACCACCTTCTGAAAACACAGCCAGGTTGGTTTATGGCAGTCACGTTTCATTATGATGAAACGCATGGAGAAAGAACTAATTCACCTGTATTTCGCCTTCACATCCCCTCCCCGGGCCTCTGTCTCTGTGAATCCTAACTGTGGTTATCGAAGGAAATTATCAGAGCCGCTTCCTTAACAACGCTGTTCTTTCATTAGTCATTTGTGCCTCGGAAGGTGATGTCTGATGGTATTTCTAATCTCCTAAAGGATTTGAATGCAGGTCAGGCTCTCGGCTACTTTCTCTTCAGGATTTGCCTCGCAATGTAATCCAGCGCTGGGCTCAACCCGGTGTAAACCAGTGTAAGCATAAAGTTGGAGCTCCTTCTGACCAAACAGTACCCTGCATTTTGATCTTTGACATTTAGATTCAAATCTAAGGTTTTATATGTGAGGCAAGTGTTTTTATTGCTGATGCACAGTCACGTTTGTCAAGCGTATCTTTAAGGCGGACGCCAGGAAGTATTTCTTTACACAGAAGGTAATGAAAAGCTGGAGTGTATGCAGCGCAGAAGGCCATATGGCTCTGGCTTTCTCAAAGAGCATCATCGGTTTAGTGTAGCCAAGTTGGTAAAAAGCTGGATGATTGCAGGTGGAAATCCCTACCTAAGGCACAACTTGCATTTTGCATCCTCATTTAATGTGATAATTGCGGAAGGATAAGATCACAAGTGTCTTTTGGATGAAGAAACCCCTTCCTCCCATCTGATCTCATTCCTTCCGAAAACCCCAACACAGCATCGAGCTGCTTTTTAAATGAGTTTGTGGCCTCAACCAGACTTTCCTGACAATCTGTCCCTCTGCGCAAAGCAAAACCTCCGTGTGTCTATCCTGAAATTGCCCCTTTCAACTGTAAACCCATGTCCTATTATTCCACTGTCTTGGTGCATCTTAAACATATTCTTCTGATCAAATGGGTCCAAGGATCTTTCTTTCCAAGCTACTCTCATGGTACAATTGAATCTTTCGTCACCTCCTGGTGCTTGTCTAGAGCAACCTTACCAGAGCACACCAAGTCCTGACATCACGTGATGCTCTGATTCACCATTGGTGGTTGGGCCTTCAACCTTTCTGCCCCCACCCTCTAGAACGCCATCCCTGAAATCCTCCACCTCGACGCCTCCTTTGCCTCCTTTAAGGCCCGTCTCAAGATCTTCAACCGTGCCTTCGGCTACTCACCCACCCTCACCCTACAACCACCCTATCCTCCACCCCCCCAGCTCGGATGCAAACCCTTAACTGTCCAGAACCTTGGCACATCCTTCCAATATGAAAGGCGCTATGTAAATTAATTTGTTGTTCTTGTTGTTGATTGTTTTGCGCACTTTATTTTTTTTCCTCCAGAGAGGTTCGATACAGAACAAAAAATCAAAGAGGTGCCTAGAACTTCAACAAAGTGCTGACAATGAGTTTGGGTTCCAACTTCTGCTCGACAAGTGCACTGGCCAACGATGGACCATTTCAAATCTCCTGGAGACGGGATCTTCATAATGGACTTCCAGCACTTCGCAATCTCGGAAATTATTTTCATGGCTACCGTGTAGCATGTTGCAAACTCGTCTGGTGTAATGTTATGTTTATGTCTCAGGTTTGTGGGATAAAGAGAGCGATTTTTTTTGTACGTAAGGTTTATTAAGCTGTGTGTTTTTTTTATACAGAGAGCTATTGGCAGGAAAGATTGAATCAGAGTCAAAATAGGTCAAATATTTTCTATGTATAAATAGGCATAACTACAATACTATTTATAACATTCACCAGTAAAGGGTTAATGATGGAGCTGCCTAGAGATGTGCCAGTCAATGGGTTGACAGTGACTTGTCCACGACAAGGCTCCGCACAGGCACGATGTGCCAAATGGCTTTCTTCTGTGCTGTATAATTCAATGATAAACCCAATGCAATACAATTTACATTCACACATGGCGGGAGAATGTCTCGAAGTGTTTGACAGCACTGTTTGAGGGGGTTTGATTGTAAGGTTAAAGAGGTAAATTGTGAGACCGACACAATGTAGGAGTGGATGGAATTCGTGCCGGTGCAAAGAAAAAATCTGAATTAAGGTAAAAGCAGCACAGCACAGCTTTTGGGCACTACCTGCGTTGTCAGAAAGTAGTAATGAAATAAGGGGTCAGTTTGGGGCATTTTTTCAGTATTTACCACTTTAACAATCCTTGTTCCCCCACCCACCCCCACCAACCGCCCTGAGTTAAGAGAAAATTTGAGAAGAGGGAGAAGAGGGGTATGAGGGTTGGTCTACACCATGGGCTGGTTGAATTTTAATAACATGTTTCTGTGCAATACTACTCTGTAATTTACTGCACACACACATCGCTCACAACAGTGAAGGCTTTGAAGCTCCCAGGGGCAGGTGGCAGTTCTATGAATAAAAAAGCCATAACAAATGTGCACGAAGGAGCTGAGACCTCACCGTCTGTGCGGAGTCTGGACACCAGACGCCCAGTGCCGTTCACATCATTGAGAGCAGTGGTGAGAGGTTCAGGTGAAGAAAGTCCTTCAGCCCATTTGATCTCAACCCTTCAGAACACCCAGCTTATTATCACCCGCTAGTTAATCGATTGGCGGATCACTTTCTGGGGGTAATTATCCCTACAAGATAATAATAATGTGGTCACTCAATCCACGATTATTTGTGGGACGTTGCTGTGCCCAATTAGCTGCCACGTTTTGCCCACAAAACACACAGTCACTACGCTTTACAGTAAGTATAATCCTGTGAAGCACTTTGAGACGTGATAAGGCACTATATCAAATGCAAGGATTATTATTATCACATCATCGAGTTGTTTCTTAGCCAGCGCCTTGGGACGTCCTCCTGACGTGAAAGGCGCTTTATAAATGGAATCTTGTTGTTGTTGTTGTAGATGAGTCACAGCCTCAACCTGCTTTGGTTGCTAATTAATTATAACAATAATTACCCTTTGGGTAAGAAATACTTTCTGGTGTCTGTCCTGGCAACAGTAAGCCTGCGTCTTGTGCTGTTTGGCATGAACATCGGATGACTTGGACGGACCAAGGGTTGTGGAATCAGGCAGAAGGTCTCAGCAAATCTTAGGCAAACAACCATGCATGTGATGAGGAAGACCTTTGAGCGTTGAAGCATTAGATCGTGAGAAAATATAAAAGTCACAAGTATTTTTACACCGAGTTATTCTACACTTGTTACCAGTTTATTAATTTTCCCAACATTTTTAATTTTTTAATTATTTCAATCAGGAGTCAGTGAGAGACATCCTCACTCACTGACTCCTGATTCACTCCCTCCAAATAAATTAAGTTAAAATTCTGTGGGGCTTTAATGCTTGTTAAATGCCTTTGCTTATTACATTGGGGAGATGTATCTCTATGAGCTATTAATCAGACTGCAAATACACTCATACTTGAGAGCGAGTGCATTCATATTCACACTTGTCATTTTGTGGAAATTATGTGACACCATAATATGTAATCCGTACGTTTGATACAGCGACCCTCACTTTGTCAAAGCGTCTCAAAGCGCTTTGCAGGATTTACTGTGAAGTGTAGCGACTGTGTACTTGTAGGCAAACGTGCACAACAATGTCTGAGAAACAGCCATGAAGCGAGTGACCGATTCTATTTGGGGGATTGTTGGCTTGGACATCAGGAGGGAGAAACTCCCTTCTCTTTTCGAGTATTCTCAACAAAGCATTTGGTAATGGGAGAGGAAAAATAGGACTGGGGAGAACGAAATATATATTTGGAAATCAACATATAAAACGGTATAATAATAATAATGATTATAACATTTATTTTTCACCCCTTGTGGGCTCTGACTGACAGTTCACGCTCTATGTGGAGACCTTGAGAATTGATGTGAAGCGGAGGTTGGTGGCAGAAGATCAAGTGTTCGCAGTAAACAAAAGCACAGTTTGCAGAGTGGGGACCTAACCTGAACTAAATCTCTGTTGCTCTTTAGAACATCTTTTATCAGAATGTCTTCGGCTTGGTGTAACGACCAACCAACAATGATGGAGAAGAAGTTGGTTCTTTTAACAACCGTGGCTTCCAGATTAAAGCTGATGTTAAGAATTTGCCATCTTGCACACTGGGTGGAGTTTCGTGTCACAGGTCACCATTATCACCTTTGTTCCCTTGTCTGGATCCTTTGCGTGCTTAGCTCGAGTTAAAAACAAATACAATAATGTTGGTTGTTTTGACACAGGAATATATTGATGCAGCAGCTTAGGCTTGCACTTCATGTCGGTGCTCCACAGAGATTATAAAACCAAGTCTCCAGCCTCATCCACTTGCTTTTTGATGGCATCTGAACCATTTATTTGACCAGAGCCTTAAAGCTCACATCCATTATCTATCCATTGTGCGACTTCACATCTCGTATCTTGTCAAAGCAACGTGTGAACCACTGAATGATGCAAGAAAGAAAAATCTAGAGTATTTTCCAACTAACCACTCTTTAAGTGTTACAACAAACAATAATTAATAATAATCCTTGCATTTGATATAGCGCCTTATCACATCTTCGAGGCGTCTAAAAGCGCTTCACCAAATATACTGTAAAGTGAATTGACTGTATATTTGTGGACGAAATGCGGCAGCCAATTATGCACAGCAGCGTCCCACAAACAGTCTTGGATTGATTGACCAATTTTTTTGGAGGGATTATTACCCTCGGAAAAGCGATCTGCCAATTGACTAACAACCGGGTTCCTACTTACTGATAGGTAAACAGAGGCGTGTGGGGTAAGGAAAGTTGCCTAAGGTTTCTCCCCGCCTAGGTATCAAAACCGGATCCTCTCGCTGGCGAGGGGAGCACTTGCTATGGGTCTCCTCATGAAAGTTGTTGTTTCTATATATTTTATGTTTGCGCCCCCCCCCCCCCATTTTTGTGAGGGAGGGGAGGAAGTAGGGACAAAATAATAATGCACTATTATTATTACAAACTGTGTAGCTGCCTCTGATTATTGCTTATCATATCTCATCCATCACTAGAGAATTTGAACTTGGAGAATTGGATAGCGTCTCTTAGCTCGGGGGGGCGGGGGGGGGGCGGGTGGGTCGATGGGGAGTTAGATACTGATCACGGGAGCAAGGGGGAGGGACAGTAACCATAAATAGGGTCAAATAGGTAAGTTTTAAAGCATGTACGAGGACTGGAGACGAGTCTGGAATAACAGGAAGGAAATAGAGACACAGAGTTGATTTAGCACAGACTGAGTTTGGGTAATTTTACATTTTTTTTACTGTTACTAACATTATGTTTTGTGTGTGACTGAACGTTTTTTCCACCAAAAGACTTAAGTTCCAATGCTACAATTTCCATCTGGGTTCCCTCTCTCTCTTTTTAAGGGTAGGAAATGCATTGGCAAAGATGTGCAAAGACTGCTTGATTCCTGTTGCCATAGCAACGCACTCTTTCAGATGTATGTTCTTTCAGGCAAAAATGAGCTTTGTCTTGTTATCTGCCAGCAGCTCAAGAACAAAAACTATAAGTGTCAACTACAGTATTTCAGATTGAAAGCACAAGGCACTGCCTGACATCATCTCCAAAACCACTTGAACCAATATCTTACCAAACGGTGATCGCTTCTTGCTTTTCCTGCAGAGGAATTGTTAAATGCTCTGAGACGCTGCCCTGCGTGGAGGGCTTTATATACGTGCAAGTTGTTGTTGCTAATCACTGCCACACAGATTAACAATTCAACAGGAATGGCATTTACATGCATTATCCTCACCACCTGACTAAATTGTCACTTCCTTGTGCTAATAAGTGAGATGAGATAACAATAGGTGAGTCCCCTTTGCAGGCACTGTATTGGTGATCTCTATACCTGATATCCTATTGCATCGAGTCCCATTCCACTCCTGTCTTATATTTTTTAAACACACTCACTCACACATTCCTCTTAACTGGCGGTGTTTTGGAACAAAGACTAAACCATGACTGACACAGCAAAAACTGCAAAAAACACTCAAGCTTTACAGACTGAGCCAAGAAAGAAGTGGTGAGGTGGATGTAGAATTGCATGCTGCCACTTGTCTGAATCCATTGCCAGTCATAGCTTGAATATTCAAGTATTTCACACTCGGACTTCTAACTCCTGACACCACTGATACGTACGCTGGTTAAATAAATATACACATCTCGTTGGAAAAAAGTACAAGATCGTAACAGGTTCAAAGTTCTATTGAAGCTGAAGGGTACAAGGGAATTCTTTTTGAACAATGCCACATGATGCTTAACGTTCCCTGGGGGAACTTGAATTAACATCTCATCCAAGGGACGGCACTTCCAACAATGCAGCTGGTGTATTGCATTGGTCCTCTTTGATTAAAGCGGTCACACAAAGCCTTCAGAGCTTTTTTATAATCTCTCATTTTCCAACGGCTTAAAAATAAAGGAGGTCATTAACCTGGCCGACTGATGTGAAAGCAGGAGACTGATCAGATTTAGAGCCAGGGACCGGGATCATTGGATTCCAGCTCTTAACACCGACCCTGTTGAACGGTGCAGAAATCTCCATCTCATTCCTTTCTTGCCTGAGGAAATGGGAGTGCAGCTCACAAAGTAATGGGAAAATCTCCATTAGGTTGATTCTGTAACGCCAAATGTGACAAAAGTGGCCACTT